CGTGACAATAAAAATTGCCGATTGAATTACCAAAATTAACACTTTAATTCACTTTACACTAATTAAACTTAAAACACTAATAATTAATCACACTGATTCACTTTATTCCGCTCCGAAGCTTCGCTTGTCTCGCCAAATTCAATACTTCCTCGATCGCATCTTGCAGCGCCTTTAAATACACATTATCACTAAAACATCCAGAATATTCAAGTAAATACGCGCGCCAATCGACAAGGCGTCGAAAGTTCGAGTGTCGGGCTTCTAGAAGCTTAGTTTTTCGTTTCGATACTAGATGGCGCTGTCGGTTGAAAGATTAGTGATGTCATTCTGGAAAGCTCCCCTCCTCTCGTCCCCGACACTAGATGTCGCTAGTGCCGTCAACTTAGGCGCGCAACAGTACGTACACAAGAATAAACGTGGTTTTGCAAAAATAAGTAATATTCATTCTGTAAACACTAGGAACAGACACAAGCTAGTAGTACCAGTTACTCGACTCCACCGATTCAGTCATTCATTCTTGGGGCGATGTATACGCTTTTACAACAAAATCCCAGAAAATATACAAAATTTGTCATACGCATAGTTCAAAAACATTATTAAACTAAGTTTGTATAAAAAGGGTTATTATAATATTAAGTGTAGGGACACAATATAGGTATATATAATATACTGGCTAGGTTTGGTGGCTGCGTCCGCCACGTTTAAATATGAGTCGCAAATATATCCCCTTTTACACGACACGTGTCTTCATTTATTGCAACCTTAATTGTAAACTTTAATGGACTTAAATAAATAAATTAATTAAATACAGTACTTATAAAACTGTACACTGGTGACCCTGACGTGAGTGGGCGACTATCGTAGGTTGAATGCGATAACTAAGCCCGACTGCTATCGTATACCAAGGCTGCAAGATTTTAAGTACGTGTTAGCCGGTAATAAAAAGATATTTACCCGATTACTGACATAATTACACCCTTTGGATTGTTTGAGTTTCCACTCATGATTTTTGGATTGAGAAACGGAGCCCAAACGTTCCAAAAATTTATGGATTCGGTAGTCCTCAAAGGTCTTGACTTCTTATTCATTTACCTCGATGCCGTTATCATCGCCAGTGACTGCGTAACCAGCCATAAAGAACATTTAAACAAAGTTTTTCAAAGGTTTAACGAGTATGGGGTGACGATAAATGTTTCTAAATGTGACTTCGTTAAGGCAAAGTTAGAATTCTTAGGATATGAGGTGTCGTCGGAGGGAGTACGTCCCCTTGACCGCAAAGTGCAGGCTATCGTCAGTTATCCGAGTCCGGAAGCCGTCGAGCAGCTGCGTCGATTCTTAGGTATGTTGAATTTTTACCAGTCTCATATTCCTAAGGCGGCCGACTATCAGGCAGAACTTAACGTATTTGCATAATACCAAAAAGCGCGATAAAACTTTAATTAACTGGACTGATAAGGCCCAGGAGGCATTTTTGAAGTGTAAGGAGAGCCTAAAAAGTGCCGCTACGCTTCATTATCCTTCACCCGACGCGGACTTAGCGCCGATGGCGGACGCTTCAAACACTAGTATCGGTGCAGTATTACAACAAAAGGTAAATAATATTTGGCAACCACTTGGTTTTTTCTCAAAAAAGTTGTCTGAGTCTGAAAATAAATACTCAACTTACGATAGGGAATTGTTAGCAGTTTATATGGCCGTCAGAAATTTTAAAAATTTATTGGAAGGTCGCATTCTAAAAAATTTTACGGATCATAGGCCGCTACTGTATGCATTCCTTAAAGTCGGTAACAATAAGGAAAGTCCGAGGAGGGTCCGACATCTCTCGTACATAAGCGAGTTTACACTGATATTCGCTAAGGTATGTTGGGGTAAGTGCGGGTCGGGGAAAGAGCGTATAATTCCAATAACTCTCAAACCATGGAATATTTTTTACTATTGGCAACACGGTCAATGCCGCCATATTGTTTTACACCAAAAATTAATCTGCCTTTTTGTCTAAAAAATCTTGAAATTATTTTAGACGATAGATAGCACAGGATAATTAGTACAATGTAAGAAACGGTCACAAAAAATGGGGAAAAAACAAGCTACAAACAATTAGAGAAGGGGACGAAAACATCATCAAAGTGGTAAAACATGATAAAAACATAGAAATGACAAAGACAATGAAAATAGCAAAAAAAGGTAATTTCCTATAAACTCAAAAAACACCAAATTTAAGATTTACTATACCAAAGAAAAAAGACGTAGACGAGGTTTTATACTGATTGTAATATTGTCAAAGCAGTAAGCTTAAAAAGCGATCCAGAAAATACAAAGTACTACTTATTAAGTGATAAAGATGATGAGCTTGTTTATTTTTCTTGCTCCTAAATACAAGCGGTGGTTTAGTTATTTCATTTTTTTAATATAAGCGTACTGAATTTTTTCATAAATATTTCAAATGATTAAAACTTTCTAATGTTGTACCTACCTAGTGTTCTTTGCGATTTCAAATTTACCAACATATAATATATATATATAGTAGATACAAATACTAAGATAAGATATAGATACTAAGACTTACTTTTTAAGTGCTAGGTAACAGTACCTTTAAAATTTTATATTTCACATAAAATAATTTTAATACAGTTTGAGAACAATTTTAAGTTTTATTTTTGAAAGGGGAAAGAGAGGACGTGCTGTCTTTTAAAAAATTAAAAAAAATCAATGACAGCCAAGATTTGAAAGGTTCAAAAATACTTTAATGATATGTTTTAACTGGGTAAAGAACAGATAAAAGATCAATATAAAACTTATCGATATTGTTAATAGAACTGCTTTTAGAATATAATCCGCTCTTCCCCCTCCATAGTCCGCACTTTCCCCAAAAATAAAAATGCACTGCCTATTTAACTAGACCTCATTTTATAGAAAAGTAATAATTATATTAAGTGCAAAAATATATACACAGATAGCATTTTCTTCCTTTTTTCATGTAAAAATTACTTACACGCCATTAAAGCAATCAGAACAGAAAAAATTTTTGGGAGGAAGGCTATCAAGACCAGCAAAAAACCACACGCTCTTACCCCAACATACCTTACAGCCTCATAATCGAAGATCTCGGGTGATGCATCCTATGGGACATCATAGTAGTGCGGACTTTTCTATCCAAGGCGTTAAGTTCCGTCTGAGTCCACCTAAGTATGCCAAGGGTATACATGAGTACAGGCATGACCCAATTAGTTATATGCTTGTGTCTTATTTACACCGGACAAAAGGCTGTTAAGCACTTTGGTCAAGCGTGCATAAAATACGTCGCAAACAGACTGTTTCATACCAGCCTCATCGATACCGATGTTCTGTGACATACCCAGGTATCGGTATGTTTCAGCCTCGGAAAGGGTCCTCAAGTTGACGGGCATAGATAAGTCTATGCCCTCAGAGTTAGCAACCCTTCCCATTTCAACATGAAGGACCGCACACTTATCCGTTCCCAGCTCCATTCCAATACAACTGCTAAATTCACAAGTGATATTTAGCAATTCCATAAGATGGGAGCGACTGGAGGCGAGTAACTCCATATAGAAAAGGTGGGTCATTTTTGTACCTCCTTTCCGAAGCTGAAATCCCCTCCCGGAGCCCTCCAGTATTGCACTGAGATGGTTCAAAGAGAGGCAGAACTAGATTGGACTCAGACAATCGCCCTGGAAGATACCCCTTCTTATCCTTATGCGGCTTTCCGCAGCCGTCATCCACTCACCCAGATGACAAAGGATCGTACTCCACTGCCCCATAAATTGCTCAAGGAAGTCTCTAACTGTACAGTCAATCTTATACAGCTCGAGGACCCTCTTTAGCCATGTATGGTGAACCGAGTCGAATGCTTTTCTGTAGTCTATCCAGGCGGCGGAGAAGTTCCGACGGTTGCGTTTCAACACTTTGCCAATGACCGCGTCAATGAGGAGCGGTTCCTTGGTTCCACGACCACCGTCCCGACAACCATTTTTAGCACGCGACATCACCTGATTTGAGTCCAGGTGACGAGTAATTATCGCGCTCAAAATGAATGTTAGTGTCTTGTATATGGTCGGTAGACACGTGATGGGGCGGTATTTGCTCGGGTCTGTGGTAACCTGGTCTTTAGGAACCAAATGAGTGATCTCAGTACTGAAGAGGCTAGGGAGCGACTTCTGGTTGAGAGCCTCTTGAAACTGACGGGTGAGCACAGTGTGACACACCATGAACCCCTTCAGTCAGTAGTGATGCAGCCCGTCGAGTCCCGGACTTTTCCAGTTCGTCAGCCCAGCGTCAGTTCCAGCTACGTCATCCGGCGTTATGATGACGGGGTCCATGGGCGTAATACTCGCACACTGACTCGCCATAACTTCCGTCCAAGGGCCCTCGCTGTGGTTTATGGGCTCTGACCACAGGCTGCGCCAGAATGCGACAGTGTCGGTCTGATTCAGTGCTGAGCCCGTTCCACTTACCATTCGTCGCTTCAATGATTTATAGAGCCTCTTCTGATCACTCTGGAAGAGACGATTCTGGTTGAACCGTGTTGACCTCTCGGTATATCGCCGAATCCGCTTTCCCCAAGCAGCGATTCCCTGCTTCAGGTCGTCTATGCGCTCCGTCAGTTTTTGCACTATATCCGGCTGGGACAAACTAACATTTGTCCCAGCAAATGCCATCCTGACGGTGTGCACAATCCTTGGCCTGTTATTGCCTGACCAGAAGCATATCAGTCTGCCGATGATGGCCCTAGCCCTTGCGATACGTTCTTCAATTCTTATTCTCCAGACTATGATAGCGGTACTTTGTCCAGTAGCGCGTCTAGCCGTGGACAGTTTGGCGCCTATAATATGGCATACTGCCAGTGCGGCGCCAAAAGGAATTGAGTTCGTCTCGCAAAGGTCTCGGCTGGCTTCCAAATAGGTCACCAGCATTGGGTTCAGAGCCCTCACGTCAGCCCGATTCCGCTTGCTTAGGGCTATGCGGGGAAGTCGCGGTTGATTTTAGAGAGGCGTACTGCGCGTTTCCACAATTGCCTCTTCCAATGTACTCCTCATATGCTCTAATTCCAGTTCCCGGGCGACTGTTCCATCATCGCTTGAATCAACCACAACTGGGGTATTCACGGCGGCATCCACGTTTGCGGGTTGCTCTGCAATTTGTGGCGCCGCATCCTCAGCCGTAGCATTTTCATCCGATGAGGGAACAGTCTCACGCCGTAGCCGTTCGAGTTCGGCGACATCAAATATATTTGAGCGCAAGATATACCGAACTCGGTCTGCCAGGTTTTGCTCTGTGATCGTTAAAGATGGCTCCAGCTCAGCAAAAATGCGATGCATCCTAGCCCGATACGCCAAACCTCCAACTTCTCCCCCCTTTCGCCCTAAAATACGCCCGCAATGCGTTAGTATTCATTTCGATTATCCATCGCATGCGGCGTACTCCACCAGTGGCGGGTGCCGATTGTTGGGCCCGCGAAGACCCTGCCGACAACAAACCAGCTGATGGGGATGATGGATGCGAGAGGCTGATGGGTGGTCGTGCAGCACCTCTCGCTCGGCTGGCGGTTCGAATGCTGTCACGTCCAGCGCCGGCTCCAGACGCGCTCTGGCGACCTCCAGGCAGCGGCCCTTTGCGCGCTCTTCCGTATTCCATCATCCATATTGGTGGGCGTCATTAAACGGGAGACGCCCAGACCCGACGCCGTTTCATGGTGGGGCCATGTGCACAAGCGGGCCTTTGTACCCTCAATTTTTGCCCAGGCATGGCACTAACACCTCTTGGCAAGGTGCTGACTGACTGCGCTGACGTAGTGGTTTTGTCACACAACCGTTACGTCAGCGGGCGATATGGTTGTCACAACCCTACGCCATTTTATTATTATTATTATTATTGGGGTATCTGTATAGTTTTCTCATCTGGTTGGGTTCTATAAATATATAATTATAAATTAAAATGAAAAGATAAATATACATAAATATCAATAAAATAAAATAAATACAAAAAATACATAAATAAATAAAGATCCAACCAGATGGAAGCCCTCGGCAGGGGAGACCAAACGGCCGAGGGTTAGGAGGAAAGGGAAAGAAACCGACGGACGATGCGGGCGGTGCATTTGAGCCCGGAGCGATCCGTCACGGAGTCCTAGTCATCTCAGATGACCCGAGAGGCTGACTGGGATTAGCCCATTCACAGAGACGACTATAGGAATAATTTCGGCCGGCCAACCACCCCACATGTCGGTCACCTCGTGAGCCAGATCCAGATATTTTGTTCGCTTATCTGTATCGGCTTTAACGAGGTGCTCGCCATACGGAATGGTAATGTCGAACAAAAATATCCTTGACTGTTCCCGGTCCATCAGCACAATATCAGGCTTATCCGCAAGAATAGTTCTGTCTGTGATGATGGCCCGGTCCCAGTAGAGCCTGGCGCGGTCATTTTCGAGCACGGCTTCCGGCAAGTACTTGTAACACGGCAATGTCCGGTACACGAGACCGTATTTCAGAGCGAGCTCCTGGTGTAAAATTCTGGCTACTAAGTTGTGCCTGTGCAAGTACTCAGAGTTAGAAAGCGCCGAACAACTGGCCCTCCAAACCCTCGGTTTCCCCGAAGAGGTCAGCAAAACGTAGCCAGTTGAGGGAGGCGATTGTATCTACGAAGGGCTCATGTAGAGCCCTGTAGTACCTCCCGTGGAGCTCCTTCTCCTTCCATACGGTCTCTCAGTCAGAAATGCTAAGCACTGCTGGGTCCTGCCATTGCTCGTTGGCTAAGAATGGAGGGTTAAGCCCTTTATCATTAGAAATGACGTCATTATAGAATGGATCATCCGATCTTGCCAGGAAGTACTGACGGAGGCTGCACACTTCGCGATTATGCATGGTGAGCGCGCTCAAGAAGCCACGCCCACCATGCTTTCGTGGCAAGTACAGCCTCATTACCGACGATCTCGGATGATGCATCCTATGGGATGTCATGGTAGTGCGGACTTTTCTATCCAGGGCGTTAAGTTTAGTCTGAGTCCACCTGAGTATGCCAAAGGTATACATGAGGACAGGTATGACCCAGCCGTTATATGCGTGTGTCTTATTCACACCAGACAAAAGGCTGTTAAGCACTTTGGTCAAGTGTGCATAAAACACGTCGCAAACTGACTGTTTCATTCCAGCCTCATCGATACCGATGTTCTGTAACATACCCAGGTATCGGTATGTTTCAGCATCGGAATAGGTCCTCAAGTTGACGGGCATAGACTTATCTACAACGTTGAAGTTGTAGATAAGTCTATGCCCTCAGAGTTAGCAACACTTCCCCTTTCAACATGGAGGACCGCACACTTATCTGTTCCCAGCTCCATTCCAATACAACTGCTAAATTCACAAGTGATATTTAGCAATTCCATAAGACGGGAGCGACTGGAGGCGAGTAACTTAAGGTCATCCATATAGAAAAGGTGGGTCATTTTTGTACCTCCTTTCCGAAGCTGAAATCCCCTCGGAGTACTGTACTGCGACGGTTCAAAGAGAGGCAGAACTAGATTGGACTCAGACAATCGCCTTGGAAGATACTTCTTATCCTTATGCGGCTTTCCGCAGCCGTCGTCCACTCACCCAGATGACAAAGGATCGTACTCCACTGCCCCATAAATTGCTCAAGGAAGTCTCTAACTGTACAGTCAATCTTGTACAGCTCGAGGACCCTCTTTAGCCATGTATGGGGAACCGAGTCGAATGCCTTTCTGTAGTCTATCCAGGCGGCGGAGAAGTTCCGACGGTTGCGTTTCAACACTTTGCCAATGACCGCGTCAATGAGGAGTGGTTCCTTGGTTCCATGACCACCGCCCCGACATCCATTTTGAGCGCGTGACATCACCTGTTTTAGCTCCTGTTGATGAATGATTCTCGCGCTCAAAATGGATGTCAGTGTTTTCTATATGGTGGGTAGACACGTGATGGGGCGGTATTTGCTCGGGTCTGTAGTGTACTGACCTTTAGGAACCAAGTGAGTGATCCCAGTAGTGAAGAGGCTCGGGAGCGACTTCTGATCGAGAGCCTCTTGAAACTATCGGGCGAGCACAGCGTGACCCACTACGAACCCCTTCAGCCAGTAATGATGCAGCCCGTCGAGCCCCGGACTTTCCAGTTCGGGGCTCTACGGATCGCCTCAGCCACGTCTTCCGGCGTTATGGTGACGGGGTGCATAGGCGTAACACTCGCACTCTGGCTCGCCACAGCTTCCATCCAAGGGCCCTCGCTGTGGTTTACGGGCTCTGACCACAGGCCACGCCAAAAAGCGACAGTGTTAGCCTCATCCGGTCCCCGCTCCACATACCTCTGGTCGCTCCAATGATTTATAGAGCCTCTTCTGATCACTCTGTTCGCCAAAAAGAACTGAGACCGTCTCGCAAAGGTCCCGACTGGCTTCCAAATAGGTTACCAGTATTGGGTTAAGAGCCCTCACGACAGCCCGATTTCGCTTGCTAATGGGTATGCGGGGAAGTTGCGGTCGGTTTTCTAAAGGCATGCTGCGCGTTTCCAAAATCGCCTCTTCCAATATACTCCTCATTTGCTCTAGTTCGTGGAAGACCATTTCATCATCGTCAGAATCTACCACAACGGGAAAATCCATTGCGGCTACCACACGTGGATGCTGGTCTGTCGCCTGAGGAGCCGCATCCCCAGTCATAGCCAATTCATTCGATGAGGGAATGGCCTCACGTCGTAGTCGTTCGAGCTCGGAATCATCAAATATTTTCGAGCGCATGGTGTACCGAACTCGGTCTGCCAGGTTTTGTTCCGTGACGGGAATAGACGGCTCCAGCTCAGCAAAAAAGCAATGCATCCGAGCCCGATACGCTATCCCTGCAGTTTCTTCCCCTTTCGCCCTATAGTACGCCCGCAATGCGTTTGCGTTCATATTTTTGTCCAATGCATGCGGTGCACTCCACCAGAGGCGGATGCCGCTTGCCGAATCCGAGAGGACCCTGCCGACATCAAGCCATCTGGTGGGGATGATGGATTCGGAGGGCTGCTAGGTGATCTTGCAGCTCCTCGCACTCGGCTGGCGGCCCGCATGCTGCCGCGTCTAGCGCCAGCTCCAGACGCGCCCCGGCGACCTCCAGGCAGCGGCCCTATACGTTTTCTATTAAAATCCATCGTCCATTTTTGGGCGCCAATTAACGGGAGACTCCCAGGCCCGGCACCATTTTATTGTATCATTGTATGGCCGTAAGCACAAATGGGCCTTTGCACCCTTAGTACTGCCAAGGCACGGAGCTCATACCTCTTCGCAAGGCGCTGACTGACTGCACCGACGTAGCAGTTTTGTCACTTAACTGTTACGTCAGCGGACGATGGGGTCGTCACTTCCCTACGCCATTATAAATTATTATTATTATTATTATACCTTGGGGGAGGCTTATGTTCAGCAGTGAACATGTGAACATTAATAATATTCCTTTTAACCACTCCTGGTAAGCTTGAAACGCTTGTGGGTTACATATTATGAAGCAAGCTATACACACATATGTATTTACCTTGTTTTTATGTTTTTTTTTACATACAGAGTCCGACTCCGACGTATTTTGACCACAATATAATAACATGTCAATTATGGTTTTTGATGACTGTTACCTGTGAACACCAGACAGCCGATGAAGATGACATCTCCGGGTACCAAAATGAACTTAACAATTTGAAGTGCTTATCATTAGAGTGCTTGTTTAATTTTTACCATTAAAAATCGCACTATATTTAAATATTGAAATCCATCCATTTCTTGCCATTAAAAATCGTTCCATCTTCTAAAAAATAATAAGGATGGATCTCTAGTTTTAGGTCCGCTAATTTTGCAAACGTCTGTTGTACAGTATGTGGCTCGGCGTTGTCGTGTAGAAAGTACTAGCTTCATGCGTGTGTGTGCGCGTGTGCGTATGCGTGTGCATGTGCGTGTGCAAGTGCATGTGCGTGGGTGTGTGCGTTAAATCATTGTATAACCTTTTTTCATGGGGAAATGCCTACGCATACCCGCCTCGAGGGATAAGAACGAGGTATGTCAGAGTTGCACTAACTAAAACCCCATGGAATTGCACCTCTGTCGCATATTGACAGGGCCACGACAACGCTTTCGCACACATTCCCAGCTCTACAAGCGCTGGCTGCCCCATGGCTGCTCCTGCTTGGGAGAGGATTACTCCTCCCCATCTCCTTTTAAAGTAAGGCGCACCAGAACACATAGCGCACCTTTTTCATGGCCTCCAACTTCACTTGCGCAACGGCAGCCCCCTTGTCCAATGCGTTAAGGCTATGGGGCCAGGAAAAACGAGCTCTCAGAAGCACTAGCCTTCCTGAACCTATTGGTGGATCTGGTCTATGGTTCCACCGCCAACCAAGATTCGGTTATGGAGGGTAGGGAGAGTGGCGCCTCGCAAAACTGACACTCTTCTCCCTCCACAGCCCCACCACCACCGCATCAACGGTGCGGCCCGGTCAGAGTCACGATGCATAGGACAAGTGGTGCGTAGCCATACCAACACTCCTCATCCTCCACGACTCCACCTCTACTGCAGCGGTAGGGGAGAGAATACCCCGCAGCTCATTAACACACATCCAAAGTGGGCTGACCAAACCCACTCGGAGTGACCACCTCGGGCTGGCTCTTCACCTCGATTCAGCCATGTGGATTCCTCTTAGTTCACCGCGGGTTGGTCAGCGACGGTTATCAAGCCCTGCCACCACGACAAGGCATTTTTATGGCGAGTTTCTCTGCGTGATAAACTTATAATTGAGGATACCTGCAGTAGAATCAGTGTGACGAACAGAGCCCAACGGATTAGTAAGCTGTAATAGCAATGGGCTGACCAAATAGCTCATGGAACCGACAATCAGTTGTGTTGTGATGGGGAAATAAGGTTCCCGAGTGGCAGCATCATGACGACCTGGTAAAACATGCAAAAAGTCAATGGACCGTACTTTGTGGCATTTCTTGGGTGAGGCCTATGTTCAACAGTGGACTTGTGAAGGACGGTAATGATGATGATGATGAACAGGGGAGAAATAAAAGTAAGGGATCCGGAGACGCTGCATTGATTCTTTAGAAGCAATAGCTTGAGAACAAACTTGAGGTACTCACTTTCTCTTTTTAGGATTATGCTGTAGTTGATTTATTAATTTTTATATATATTTTAATTAGTATAAATATAACTAATATTTCATTAAGAAACATTAATCTCTACACTCTTCTTCTAGCAAATCAACTACCCTCACTATATAATACGTCGAATATTACACCTCATTCCTAAGTGGCGACACCTTGATGGCAGAAAAAGTCATGAATTTGTGCCCTTGTGAGGCCCTCATTTGTGAATATTTTGTAATCAAAGAGTATAAAATCACAACGTTACATTTGTAAGCATGAAGGTTACATCATTTGCAAAAGTATAGTTACCAAATAGAATGTAATCATTACTATGTTTAAATAAGAATAATGCCATCAAAACATAGCTTGTAAAAAAACCAAGTCTCGCAACTCAGTTCTTCTATGGTAAAAAGTTGTGAGATCTATGTAATACCAAGTCGGTTAATTTATTCAGTCCCTACTTAAGGATCCTTCTGTTTGAAGTTATTACGTAATTAGCTAACCTAACAACATTTTATAGTGACCATATCAATGTTAAAAATCTTTTATGTTTTAAATATATAGATTGACTAGGCCATCGCATGAAAACACAATGTATCTCACAATAATTTGTGCAAGTTTAAGGGGTAATCTGTGCAAGTAATACATATTATATTATATTAGATTGCTTAGTGCGATGGCCAAGTCAATCTATATATTTAAAACATAAAAGATTTTTAACATTGATATGGTCACTATAAAATGTTTTAGGTTAGCTAATTTCGTAATAACTTCAAACAGAAGGATCCTTAAGTAGGGACTGAATAAATTAACCGACTTGGTACTACATGGATCTCACAACTTTTTACGATATAAGAACTGAGTTGCGAGACTTGGTTTTTTTTTTTACAAGTTTTGTTTTGATGGCATTTCATTTCTTTTTGTAGATAAGATAGTCCTACTTTTTTACCTTTCCGGTACCTTCTTCTTCTTGAATACCAACAACGTACCTATCTACACCTATTATACACATACATACACAAGTACACATACACAAGTACACCTTTTTATTAACTGCAAATATAACTTTGTAATTCTATATATTCATATAGGATTACAAAGTTATTTATGCAGTTGGTGTATCTAGAAAACTGGACCGAAATTAAAAAATATTTTAGTTTTTCCTTGATCTATACACTAAACACTAATTGCATTCTAAATTTGAAGCTTCTATGTCTGCTAGAAGTATCTTAGAGTTTTGATGATCGGTCAGTCAGTGAGTGACAAAATTAAGAAACTTTGACTAGTTATAATTCTTAAGCTACTAGATCAAATTGGATGAAATTTGAAATATATCATGTTTATATAATGCCTACTTGGTTACTGAAAATTTAGGCTTCTAGTTTAATCCACTACGAAGTTATAGGGGGTTGAAAATGGCCTGAATTGCTTCGAGAAAAGTATAGTACGGCCGTGCCGCTTTTTTGCTCGACTTGGCGGGGGCACTGCCGTGCCCCCAAATTCTTACTCTTACTTCAAAAAGGAGTGTTTCTGTGGCTGTGCGATTTAGTGTTTCTCAACTTAGAGATGTGCCAATTCGGAACGAATTCTACTCGAATAAACTCCAATTGAAATTCACGTAACTCGTATTGAACTTTTATTAATTGGCAGGACGCAGCTGATTCAATTTTATACAAATTATTCGTATATTTATTCTTACATCCCATCCCGTGATGGGCTTAGATTAATACGATGCTTTCGCATATTATGTTGGAACAATTATTATTACTAAATATAGTAGGTAGTAATAGATTAAAAAAAAACATATTTATAGTATTATATGTTTTTGGTTTGCGTCTGTAACTTTATGACATAAGTACTTGTTATCAGTAATTTAACTATCACAAATTATTCTTATGCAATTTATTGGTATTATAAAATATACATGCACTCGCTTGCTCGCATATTTCGTTCAATTACCGCCAGCCTGAACTCGAGTTATTAATTATCCGAATCTAGTTAATTCGAGTTGAACGCAACTCGAGTTAAGAGTTGCCATCACTAGCCCAACTCAATACCATACTTTTTCATAGGATAGTAATTCTAAGTCTATGCTCAATACCATGTTTATTTATCTATGTTCAATATTTTAATTGATTTGGACTATGTACCAACTTAAACATAACATAATATTTTAGACGACGAGTTCTCTTTCGTGTTTCGTCGCTACAGGAAACCCTCGCTTGTATAAAACTCTATAAAGCCACAAATATATGCACTAGAATGTATTAAAAAAGCAATCAATTGACTTACTTGAATCCATATTTTGTGTTGGTATTAGTGTTCTGTGTGTTGTGTAAGTTTGGTCACATATTTGGGTGTGTGTGTCTGTTGCGTTTACCGGGACACAATCAGTTGCGATTGCGATCTTGCGATTGCGTGTGAAGCGATATTTTATAAGTTCTATAATTTACCAAGCTTTTGTTAACTAAAATAAATTTTCAAAAACCGTGATACATCGTGGGATATTTTAACTTGAGTATGAGTATAGGGACCACGAGACTATGTTTACGAAGAATTCATATGTGTCAATTATAATAAAGTGAACGATTGCCCTATTTCAAAAATTTAGGAGCCATTTACACATGGCGAAGAGTCACGTACACTTTTTGAAATAGTCATTATTGATAAATTGTGAAGAAAGTATATTTTTCTTAAAATCAAAAGAAATGGATAGTAAGAATATCCAGAAAAATGCTATGCAAAAAAGTGCAGAGTTCACCTTCACTCCACCACCCGAG